ATCTTGTGACAACATTTAAAGGTGTATGAAAGTCGACAGCCTGCGATCATGAAAAAAAGGTGTCTGTGAGTTCTTGAAAAAGTCAATTTTTTGACAGTTTCGACTATTGAGTGGTCTTCGCTCCAAAATTAGACCGTAACGCTACGTTTAGACTTCAGATTCGGAATCATCGGACAAAAATATGTAGGACCAATTGAAAATTGTTCGAAGTGGATAGTCAATGATGATTCTGGAACAACTGATGACACGTACTGTGGTCAGCTCCGTTATTGTTATAGGAGCTTCAATTCAACCCAGTGCATTTTCGTGGTGAACAAAACATTATTCGATTGGTATTGAAGAAACTTCTCGAACTAGAATTTTCACAGAATTTGTTAGTGCATTGTATCTTAGACCATCGTGTAAAATCAAACGGAATGCCTATGGATTTGTAGGTATATTTTCGGTGGATTCGAAATCAAGTCATATGTCTTGAATCCCCATCTTTGATTTATTATTTTGTCTATTGCATCAATTACGAATAAGGGTGCAATATAATATAATTATCAATATGTTTTTTCAGCATTCACTTTCCACAGTGATTAGTGCACAATCTTCAAAATGTCCAGTTTAAATGAATGTGATTTTTTTCAAATTTTCTTGAATTCTCTACCAATATTTCAAGAATAGGAAATGAAAATATTGAATTGACTAATTTGACTGACCTTAGATGTTTTTAGGTTTCGGACAGTCCCTAACTAGAGCCTTGCTTTCGTGTCGGCTTCACGATAGATACTAATCTAAATTGTTTCTAAATACTGACGATGAAAATATCCTCGGTTTTATTTACTCCTGCTTAATAGACAACCCACCATACCAACGATATTCTGATAAAATAACTAACCTACAGGGCGGCTCGACTGATTCTTCTAATTGAGAAATTTAAACCGTTACACACTGTTCCGAATCAGAAAACATTTTACACCTCAGCAACTTTTGATGCTCTATAAAGCTCAGATTAGACCTACTTTGAAGTATTGTTCTCTGGAAACTGCTGGATTTCATTCAGAAGAGAGCCATCCTCCTGATTGGAGGCGCGAACATCACTTGCAACTTTGATAGTCTGGAACATCGAAGAAAGGTTGGAGAGCGGTACACAGCAGAAATACACAACGGACTGTGGCTATTCATCGTTTTGAGGTTCACCTCAGGAACATCGAAGAAAGGTTGGAGAGCGGTACACAGCAGAAATACACAACGGACTGTGGCTATTCATCGTTTTGAGGTTCACCTCAGGAACATCGAAGAAAGGTTGGAGAGCGGTACACAGCAGAAATACACGACGGACTGTGGCTATTCATCGTTTTGAGGTTCAACTCAGTACACTTCGAACTTCACTGTTGAAAAACTCTTTCCTGTGGAGAACTGCGTTTATGTGAAATGAACTTCTTTCCAATGTGAATCGCCACTTTCGCACAGACACCGATTCTAGAGGGCTTTGAGGGTTTTCCTGTTTTTGTTTTGTCAAAAAAAAATACAGTAAGAGGGCTTCAGCGGTCCTTGCAAAGGCTATAGAAAAGTTTGAAATTGCTCTTATACAAAAAACCTGGGTCTACAAAAAAAAGATTATGGGATTTCAAGATATCCGGCGGATATAATTCAAAACAGAACCCCAGAGACCCCAAGAACGTGTATAAATATTTGAAAAGAATTGAATATTTTGACGAAGAGTACCTTTTCTACAAGGGACTTGACGTCGGTCAATCTAAAGATGGCTGGTGAGGTAGGACCCGAGGAAATCGAGATTAGATCAGCGAACCTTATGATGGACATGAACCACCACCATCCAGTGGATAAGCAAGTGAGAGCCTGCCAAGCNAATCTAATCAGTGATACCAATTTTTTTTCAAATTGGAACTTCTGATCTTACATTAATATTATCTACAATTAATTCTACAGAGTTATTGAATTGTTTATTTCAGAAAAAAATTTCCCTCAGCAGAGTAGAAAGCCAAGGACTCCGTTATATTTGTATTTTTATAACATGATATTGTTATGGTATTGCGCGCCTTTGTCAATTCAAGCTCTGCGACAAGATTTTGATTTTTTTTTAAATCTACTGGAATATAAAACTATCAATACAAAAATTTCAGAAGCAGCGTGAAAAAACAATTAGCACTCTTCTCTGGTATTTGTCTGAAGAACTTATTTGTTCAGCACTTTCCGATGATAATATAAGCTCAGAAATTGAAAATCGAAATTATCGAATCAATGTATCAAAAAGCTAGCGAAGCTACAAATTTAAAACGTGTTGATATCAGAAAAATCAAGATTGATTCTTTCACGACTAAAGATTTGTAGATACGATTTGAGCGATTTTTCTGCCTACTGCATAGAGAAATATCAATTGAAATTGTAGGATTCCAACTCACAGGAGAAGGTAGAGTATGTGGGATAGGAAGAAAGTATAGGTTCAAATAATGACATTGTGAATAATTGAAATATGTTGTGTGAATGAAACCATGTTTCCGTATATCTATTTATCAATTTTTTTATTCATCAATATCAACCATTCACATTTCAATCTTATCACAATTCAATTTGAACAGAATTATTGAATGTTTAATTCATTATTATCAAATATTTACATATCAATCATACCATATTCCAGTTTGAACAGAACCACTAAGGTCATTTTAAGACAAAACAGCATCGTGAAGGATGAGTGCCTATACTTTGGTGTGCTGGAAACTTGACTTTGCATGCCCCAAACTCTATTTTGATGTCGAGAATGGAAGGATTCATAGCATTGGGTTAGCGGGAGCAGTCGATAATTAATAGTGGGTTATTGTGGAAGCTTCTAATTTCTGTCACATTGGTTCACTCATAGCTTCATCATAGTAGTAGTAGTACATATGCTTTATATGCAGATTCCAACTCATATGGGTATACTTCAGAGTGGAATATAGACGAATATTGATTATACTCGCATGTATGCATTATGTTGCATCCTTTGACATTGATCGCCGAACGAGATTCGTCCTCTGCCTTTCACTGCAAGGCAACTCGATACAACACCGGACAGCACTGTTTTGACCCATCAGGTCTCATCAGTGGTACTAGCCTGAACCACTTAACTGTCCTAAAAAGAACAGGACTAAAAGTAAAAGTGACTGTATCTGCCTCTACGAAAACCCCATCTGTGGGATCAACAGACTCAATCCTCGAATATTCAGAATAAACGAGGTTCCCCAAGACGGTCTATTGCAAATTCAAGCTTCGACATCGACGGCCGAACGAGATTCTTCTCTGTCTTTCACTGTGAGGCCAACACACATGAGGGAATGCCATCACCGTTACTTCTAGGCTTGTTCTTTTCAGGACAGTTCAGTGGTTCAGCTAGCACCACTGATGAGACCTTGTGGGTTGGATCACAAATCCATATAACTGAGCCTCTAACATATACTCCATGTACGTTCTTTGGAAAACATTTTGGGATGTATAGAAAAAAAAATTAGTTATTTTTTCGACTATTTGAATTAGGAATAGAGAAGTGTGACATAGTGTAATAGTATATATCATATCGATATTGCTATTCATAACCGTGTTTATTACTTCTAGATGGAAAAACACTTGCCAAACATTGACACAAAACAAGAACATACCCAACTTTCCAAATATCAAAGAGACAAATGAAAATTTAACAAAATGTTTCACTGTTGGCAACATTCTTGAATTTATTTTCCTCTTGTTTAATATTATATCCATCCTAACTGTTGAAGGTGGATTGAAAGTTAAATGCTGCTGGAATAGAGAAAAATCATACATACTAAATCCAATCAAATATTTTTCATATGAGGATACTCAATTATTATTTTAATTACTATTTCACTTTTACCTGATATAGTATATGATAAATATCTTCCTGTGATGATTTCCNACACATGAAATCATGTTTTCATATACAAAATTATAGAATGTTCACATAATTGAGACTTCAAAAGCTATAATATGGCCCTATAATATTAATCTTGAAATTTCAAATAAGTTCTTATTCAAACTGGGTATTGATGGTATATTGACCATTTATCGCAATAGGTAAACCTGAGTTGAGATTTTTTATGTTCATGAATTATTTTGTCAGATTTTTGTAAATATTTCCTATGTAAAGTCAAATACCCAAATAGAAAAAGTGGAAGGTAACAAAAAATGTTCTTCATTTTTTTCAGTACCTACTCTTCATCTATACTGTAAACTGACTGTATTATCAACACAAATTTAATATTTACAAAAATGTCTATATCCAACTCTACTAACCTTTCATAATATTTTTCTAATGTTTTTCTTATCTGCCAATCTGCAATCAAAATTGCGGTAGTGACAATACTACCTATATTATTATTTTATTAACTATTGAGGTTGACGAATCAACTATCCTAAAATTGTTAAGTAACTATACGAATCGGAATAAAAATTATTCTGTGGTCAGGTTTTCATCCTTTATCCGATAGGCAAAAAAATGGTCGATTCACAAATTCCCCTACCTCATTTCCAAGAATTCAAATAGTAAATTTCGTTTGATATAGTTGTAGTGTTTCAAAAATACGAGAACACAAGAAATTGCGGTATATTCTATCAGAAAACAAAAACAATGGAATTATTTTTTTTTTGCAAATGCAGCGATATTCAAGAGCATTTTTTTCAGGTGGTGATCAGGGACTCCTCAATTTGTATTTTTCTGACTGGTCTCATAAAGATATTAGCAAACACTTACCGTTCATCTACAACATGTCCTCTACAGCCTGTTATTCATATCTTCCTGCGTTCAAACAGTAAGTCGATCCCAATTTGAAATGTTTATATATTTTTCATATATCCATTGATTCACAATGTTTCCTGATGAATAATATTGAAACTGTTGAGTAAACATACGTTTCAACAGCACGCTCTAGTTTTTAGGAAAAGTATAATTACACTCTCATATGTTTGTCCTTTGATCATAAATCTGTGATTGCCTGATGATGCTCACTCAGTGAGCGAAACGCGAGTTCAGAGTTAGTACTATTGTTTTGGTGTGGGAAAATATTTTCAATAAATACAAAACATTAATTTTTCTCGAAATTGTGTTTTCAGCATACTATCAAAAACAATTGCAAAATGAGAATTTCAATTTCCTATGTTTTTATACCACCATTATTTGTAACTAACGTTACTGCGGTTTTGTCAAACAAAGACATTTTCAAACGAATATTCTTTTCGAAGAGTGAATTGACAAGAAAATACCATTCACACGTTAACGGATGATAAAGTTTATAAAAAGTATCCTTAGTAATTTGAAAGCGGTATATTTTTAGGAGGGTTGTTTTGAGAAGGAAAGAAAGGTTGTGGGTTTCTACGTCACCATCTCAATACCAAAAAATGTAATATTCTGAAGAAATCAAATAATTGCATAATGAATTCCTTACAAAAATGTGTAGATCATGCAAAGCAGTAATTATTTTCAGACACAAACTGGTAGAAAAAGACTTCTCAAAACAACTACCTTCATATCAACATTGAATTAAACGAAAAAAAAACTTTTGAAACAACTATATAAGTGAAATTTTATCTCTTTCATATACTAATTATNTAGTGGACACACCTCTATGCAGGATGTGTGAACAGGAAGATGAGACTGTCAGGCATGTCCTGTGCGAGTGCCCGGAGTTATCGTCAATAAGAGAGTGTGTGTTCGGCGAGTCTTGGCCTACACCTGCCGATATAAAGGAGATGTCTCCCAGCGACCTGTCCACCTTCCTGGAAAGGACAGGATGGACGACGACCTAGGAGGACAACTCCTCGGGAGGATGTACAATGGGTCACATGTGGCCTAAGTGCGTGGGCTTTTCACTCACCCTCCCTACTCTACAGATACAGATCATATCAGACAATGGAAGTCCGAACTAATGAAATGCACCACGAAACATTGTCAACTACCTTCAAGTTTTCTGTTAAGCGACCAGCAAATAGATAATTACTCGCCATTGTCAAACGTGTTTCCATGAAATACCAAGAATTAACATATTTACATTTTACCTGTTTTCCCAGAAGTAATATTGTATTATGATTGCTTTTTCAAAATGAACCATTTCTACCAGAATTATTATCATCTATGTAATTACTTTTTTTAACTACCTACTGTTATATATAATACATTGTAGAATAGTTTGAAGTACCAGTTCCACTGATAGAAATACGGTGTAGGTACTGAAACGCGTCCTGAAAAAAATTTATAGCGTGAAAATTGTATAATTATTATCATGGATAGTGTTAATTTTCATCAAAGCATGGGTCAGTGTATTCATAATTTATAAAAAGTAATGAACTTTTTGTCTCAGAGCAAGGCTAAGTGAAACTTTCAGAATTTCAAGATATTTTTTATTTTCTGACCTTTTAACTCAACATAATATTTCCAATAAATGATAACAAAAATTGGTGATGTGACAATATGATGTGGTAATTCTNATAGAATAATTGGAGAGATTCCTCTCAAAATTCTCGGAAAAATATCATTCGCTGCAATCCAGGTGTTTCAAAATATTTCACATGAGATATGCCGTACAAATTTGGTATCTTTTTCTGTTAGAATATTAAATTTATACTCGTACCTGTCAGCATAGGATATTTTTCTTCAACTTCCAAAGTGGGAAATATCGTCATATATTATTCACGTTTATTTTTGTCGAATGCAATTATATTGCCTGTGTAATTTTCAAAAAGTTAGGTAACAAAAATGTCTTCGCTTATATAATTATCAATTTTCTCGAGTTCTGCCGACTAGCTTCCATATATATTTGTAGTAACCTACATACAGTCAATGATTTGTTAAATCTGGAGCATTTTCCAGAAACATTAACTCTAGGATTTTAACATTGCAAGCAATTGGTTTTTAGATCTGAGGGTTGATGGGTGCTTCCTTTGTTATCTAAGGGTTGTGGGACAAGTGCTTTGTTATCTGAGGGCTGGTGAACGGGTGCTTTGTTATCTGAGGGAAGGAGGGAAGTTTCTTTCGACGTCGAGTTGTGAAGTATGTCGTTCATAAAAATATTCGATAACTATAATTTTCTAACTGAGTGGTATTTTGTTGGTACCATGGAAACATAACCAAAGTGTTAACAACACTAAAAGCCAATCGTAGTGCGTGCCAATTTCCATGTGTTAACATCATAAGGAAATTTGTACCTGTTTCACCATTGAGATCGCATATGAATTTCTATGTATTCATTATTGTTAAGAAAGTAAGCATGAGCCAAAACATGTTCTAGTTTATCGAATTCAAATTGACATAGTCAATTGTATACTTTCTTTCCTTATGTTGATGTTAATTGGTTTATTGTCAAAGTCAGGTTCAGATTTTTAGCTTTAATTGGGTAGATTATTCTCACTGAAACTAAAATTATAAAAATATATATAAGGCATTGAACATGTAGATTTAAGTTAGAACAGACACGCCTGAAGACGTCTGAAGACGCATGTTTTGCATTTTAAACGTAAAGTGATGTCAAAATAAAATTTCATATTTTTGAACATGTTGAGTGACATCTTCCAAACAAACATGCTTCTCATATGAATTTAACATACGCGCTGTATAACATTCTTAATATATTGACAATGCCCTTCTGCCATGTCGAAATATTTTTTTTTCATTAAAATTTGCGTTCCTTTCATTTGATGTATTACTCGTTACATGTATTGCAGAACCATCATTGACTATCTTCCTTTCAAAAGTAGCACGAACGGTTAAAATTATTATTTAGCCTAAAACTCTTCAATGTTTATAGGTTTGGAAAGACTGCTAAAATCATTCATTTTATTGGGTTTACGAAGCCTTGGTTGCAATATTTTGACTCGGAAACGAAAAAAGTGCATCCCTCTGAAGACTTGAAACATTTACAAGAAATATTGCAACACTGGTGGGATTTATTTTGTGCCATTCACTCAAGCTTGTCCCCCGAAATGGTAATTATTGAAAGTCAGTTTTTTCAATATGTAAATGAATCAGAATTTGTCATCTCAAAATATTCATTAAAATATTCACAATAACTATGATCTCACGTAGGTATATCATAACTTTTTCTTCAAAGTGTGAATGAATTGTTGCCCCTAGATGACATCATGTACCTACCTCAAAGGTCACTTTTTTAATACATGAGTTGACCAATTGTCTCTGTTAAAATATGGAAATAGAAAAAAGAAGCCTATTTCTTGAACACTTTTTTGTGGACAGTGTCGTTTCTTGAAACCACTTATGGCATGTCGCAGCATACATCTGCCTTTGTATTTTGAGTTTTGATTAGCATTTTTTTTTTGCTTTTTTCACTTACTGATGTTCACAACCTCAACACTTTAGTTTTTGTTTAGATAGTTAGATGTACTCTGCACTACTCAACAATTTTTTTTCTTTTGCATGCTTGTTTGTTCAGACCAGCCATACAGACACTGTGCATGGTAGTCAATCCAGAACCTATCAAGCTACCCACCAACTACCCCATCATCACCATAATCAAACCGTTCCTAGTTCAAATGTTTCTCATCCTGCGGAAGACTACCAAAATGTATGGGATCCGTGGGAGGAGTATGACTCTAGGGAGTCCCAAGACCAGCACAGTGTGCAGAGTAGTATTCCAGATCAAACATTCCATGTTTCATATAGTACATATACAGAACCGGCATGCCAAACTTCCTCCCAGGTTCATGTTCAATCACACACAAATCAAAATCAGCGAGTTTCATATCCTCTTCATTCATTTGAAACTCATTCATATCATTTCCAAAATCAAAACCAATCTTTAGACAGTCATAAAGTTCATTGTCACAGTCACTCTAGTGAAAGTCATAACCCGTTTAGCGATAGTCGCCAGTTTCCTGAAAGTCACAACCAATTCAGCGAAAGTCACAACCAACTCGACAGAAGCCATAACCAGTTTAGTGAAAGTCTTAATAATCAGTCTAGAGAAAATCGTGATTATTCAGCTGACGGTCGGAATCTACAAAATCAGCTTTTCGAACCTCACAATACAAATGCAAATTCTGCTGATCATCATAATCATCCTCCTTCCCCTACATGCAGTCATCCGCAAACTCATATTTTGCACTATGAGGATCCTTCAGCTTTTCAAGAAAAATCACAATCCACCAACCCACCCCCTCCGGACGATCCTGTTCCCAGACTGCCAGACGAGTGTGTGACCACTACGACAGTGTCCAACGAAATAATATTGCAAACAGGTTCACATGAAGAAACAAACAAAAATGCTGTAAGTATGAAATTTCGTTTAATTTATTGACATGCTAACCGTTTTCAGTTGCTTGCATGAATGAACAAATTTTCTCTGTGAATGGGAAACTGGAGCAAAATTTGCTTTGTTTCATTTCAATTCTGTCTTCGGTTTCCTGATAGTTTTCAGTGTTTGAATCCCTTATTCTTCATGTCTATTAACATTCTGTGAGGAAAGAATTAAGAGTACCTATTGTTCCATATAATTTCATATTTAAGAAAAACTATTATATGAGAAATACCTCGAAATGAAAACATTCTTAACTTCTACCAGGTTTGAAAAGACCTGTACTTCAGACAGAGATGGAACGGATGTCAAAAACAAATATCTATAAAATTGTGAGTTTCTCTGTTGTCCGGCAAATGAAGCAATCGTGGATAAATGATTACATTTGAAATTATAATCTCACTGTCATATAAACTATATTTTTTTAAGATTACTACTTCTCCTCATCCATAATAAATAGTGCTAGTAGGTAATCTTAAAAATAAACCTAGATCGGTAGAGAAAATGCTTCAGTGTAATAACGGGTAAACTGAAAAGTTACTCTGAAGAGTCTAATCAGTTATTCATTTGGTTTTCTGGTGACATTTTGTTTCATTCCATTTCTTTCCGTGAGCATCAGTTGAATTCAAAATATGATTCGCTATGTTCCATCCTTTCAGCTGTTTTTTTTTATGTATTCACAATGTTGTCTTGATGTTTCACCAATATAACTATGCCACGAAACAAGGTTTACTGAAAATACACTTTCATTTTTTGTGCATATTCTAGGGTTTAATACCATGTATTGGTAGGTCTTCAGTTGTTTTGACATCGTATTCAAAACCAATTCGTCTTAATTTTTCAGACAAACCAAGTATGTGTGTTGTTGAGTCTGTAACGACTAAATGATCTGGGTAACTGTCGATACCAATTAAACGCTCATTCTGCAAACTGTTCCAAATCTTTTTTATTCAAAATAGATTCCCTTTCTAAATCGCGAACTGAATTGCAGACTAGCTAAGCTGTTTCATAAAAATATTCGACTATACCTTTTTTGACATTAGTTTGGTGATTAGATTCAGGATAAAAATGTTAGTATGCGTTTATTTTTGATGAACACGTGTATCAGTAATATTTATCTATTTTCAATCATCACATCAAAAAAAGAAAGTGAGATATGCTCTTCACTCTCTTATGTTCAAATTAAATAAGTAATCAGTTGTTGTCATTTGAGTTTTTATTCCAATATTTCTAGAAATTAACTTTGAAATAACATTTCTTGTCATAAACATCGGAAATTATTTTTCGAAAATATCACGAGATATTTCAACTAATTTGAAGATAACTGATGCATGATTATTGTGAAACCAGTTCAAAGCGATAAATTATTTCAACCCTTCAAACTGTGTACTTCAACAAACTGTTCACTCCAATCGAACAAGATATATGAATTGTAATAAGTGGCGATGAAAATGTATTTTCTCTGGTGGATTTCTATAAACACAAAAAATGAACTATGAGTGGGTGACTAAATATTTGCGTTTCTTTCAATGCCGGAACTCGAAATATACTCCATTTAAAAAAGTTGAATACATGTAATTTCATAAACATTTGTTTTCAAAAACCAAAATGGAAGGACTATGGATCTTGTTACCATACATAAAACATTTTTTAATCTGTATTCCAGTTCAGTGTTTCAAGAGCCTAACATCCGAAAATAATATTTCATTGGTATTTTTCAGGCTGGTTTAGCTGGAGCATTTGCAAAACTGACATTAGGGACTCCAAGAACCCCCGAACAAGCTGCTTTGGATGACCATTTGAGAAGGCAAGGCTGGGAAGTGGGAAACATTGATTACTTGGGAAGAGACTCGTTTAAAAACATATGGAGTAAAATTTGTGAAACGCTTTCTGCCGCCTCAGAGCAGCCTGTATTGAAAACAGGTAACTTTTAAAAATTAAATAGAGCTGGCCGAGACTTGATGACAGTCCATATCAAATCTTACAAGTGAGATTTTCGCTATAAAAGGTTTTAAAAAGTTTCAACCATTTTATACTCTAACAAAACTACCTACCTAACCTACCCCACAGTTCACTCAAGTAATTGATTCTAAGGTAGATTCAACTAACTGCAAAGACTGGATATAACCTTTATTCCAGTGGGTGAAAACAAGCAAATTAAGTGTAGTGATATTACATAGTAATTATTGTATGAGCGGACTGAATATGATTGACAAGAACAAAATTAGCAGAGGCGAGTTATTCAAATCAATTTCATTTTTGATGTGATATTGGGAATTTTTCAATTTATTAATTTCCATAGTTTCCAGAAGGTTGAATTTCAAACTTCCTTCTGGAAGTTAAGGATTTCAATACATGATTCATGTCCCTTTGTAAGTAGGTGGATAGCATGAGCTGAGTTCATTTTTCCATTTTGTAAAGTTTCTCTGCGCTAGAAATACTCTTCCAGAAATGGCAGCCTCAGCTTTGCAAGTGTGTGAATTGACGAACTACATTGAACTTCATTTTCTGGTATGTTACAGCCACTTATAATTTACCAGTAGCAAACTTACTGTACTAGTTATTGTAGTAGTTATTGTATAAAAGAATAAATTGAAAAACCACTTTTGATTCCAGTACGAGAGGGTTTTTTTATTCAACAACTATAAAAATTAACATTTCAAACATCCTTATCATTGAAAAGTGAGGCTTTTTATAATTAGGCATTTCTGATAACATTAAGTAGCCCACACACGACAAAATAATGACTGAAACTGAATAAAATTCATGACGTTAATTCATACAATTTGAATGGTTGCAGCTTAATATACAGCAAAGGCACCGTATAGAAGTGTTTACTTCTTCAGTGGCTAAGGTGAACTCAACCAGAACGATGTGGTCGTAGTTTACATCAGAGATAGTTATAACTATAATTTTGAGCTTTAGCTTAACTTAAGCTGTTAAAGTAACTATCAAACTACCTAAAAACTATTTAAGAATAACAGACGCTCATAGATCACCCTCTTCCTGTCCTTATGCTTTCAACCAAAACATTAAAGAATATATAAAAAATATATTGACAAAAACCACCAAAATGTAATTTCAGGGGATTCAAATATAAACTTATTAGATGAAAATGATACAACCCAAGAATATCTCAAGATTTTCAATGAATATGATTTCGTCTCCACCATTAACGAAATTACTAGAGCACAAGGAAATTCAGGTTCTTGCTTGGGCTATATTTTCATCAGTAATATACGTGTCTCCTTTTATATACAAAATACTCACATCACATATCACTTCACGACCATGATTGAGTTCAAAACTGATAAGAACCAGAACAAAGAGAAATTCGACGCAAAGAAAATTGTTGACTATCACAAACTAGAAATTGAAATGAAAGCTGAAAACTGGGAGAATTCTTATGCAACCGAGGGTGTGGAATCAGCAACTAATTTATTCATTAAAAAATAAATGAAAGAAATATTGAATACTTCTTCAAAAGAAGTATTAAATAAAATTGAAAAAGAAAACCAAAAACCTTTGATAACCTCAGCTCTAGTTTGGTGATTAGATTCAGGATAAAAATGTTATGAGAGTCGAAGAAATTGAATATTTTTGTATTGTTGCAAAAAGTTGATAAAATCAAATATCTTGCAGTCATAAGACTCTTGTTTCTGAAAAAGAAAGGTAGAGTTGAAAAAATAATTAACAACTTAAAAAACATAAAGCACCAGGAAGTAGAAGTTCTTCAACATATTGAAGAATATATTAAAGAGCCACTACCACTGATCATCAATAAAATACTAACGACAGAATATTGGTCTGAATCTCAAAACCCATTTTTGAAAAAAATGAGAAAAATCAAATTGCATTAGTTATAGATCAATTTCTTTAATCACTGGCATAACTGAAATTCAGGAATATATTTTTAAGAGGAGGTCAACATTTTTTTTTGAGAAATATAATCTTGTCTCATCTAGACAGTTTGGATTCAGAGAGGCCAGGTCAACACAGGATGCGATAAAAGAATTAAAGATTTCGGTATTCATCGTTGAACGTGTTTAGTTCTCATGAAAAGTTATTTGAGTGAGAGAAAGCAATGGGTCAAAGTAGGTAATACTTTAAGTAAATATGAAATGATGAAAATTGGGGTACCTCAAAGAACAATACTTGGTGCAATTCTTTTCAAAGTGTATCTCAATAGCCCTTTCAATCTCCACACTAAAGGGACAATTGAAAGCTATGCAGACGACACAGCAGTTTTTTACGAAGTTGATAGTTGAAAATCTATCGTCACTAAAGCACAAAATGACTTTAAACAATCATTGACTGGCTCAACTTTGAACTATTGACTATAAATTATTCTATAACAAAATTCCTACCTTTTTCAGTGAATAACAAAAATTTACCCAGTCTCCGACCCCTTGAAATTAGATGTGAAAACAACATTGTGAAAATCACACGAGCTACAGAATAGAGTATCTTGGTGTAATGATAGACACTCATCTAAAATGAAACACGTTAGGAAATTAGTGCTAAAAAATTAAAAGCCTATTGTCTAAATTCAAATACTTGAGGAGCATCCTGGAAGAAATACATCTTTGAATGCTGTGGAATCCCAACTGAGATATGGGCATAATAATCTTGGGTAGGGGCTTATAATAATATTATAAAGAATGTTGAAATAATTTAAAAATGGATTTTGAAAATAATAATCAGAAAACCAATTACCTACCCATCAGATAACCTTTACAAGCTTGGCAATACCTCAGATATAAAACGAATGCCATCATCACATTTACACAAGTTATACTTGCCTGAATTTGGTGGTTGCCCTTGCCTTATATTTCGTTATTAATTAATGACAAATGGCAGTTGCAATTCGTATATCTTCTTGAAAACTTCCAATCTTATTGTCATAATATTTTGGATATTAATTTAATTTTTATGAAATTTTGGAATCTGCCGCAGTATGATAAAGGAAAAACAAAAGTTTGCCACTGAAAAGTCCAATTAGTCGATAACTCGTATTGAAAAATTGTGCCTACAAATTGAATATTTCATGGAAAAATAAATAAAATTCCTATTAGCTATGGTTGGTTAGTAAACGTTTCGGAAAAATATCCCTGTCTGTTCTCAAAACTATCAATTCACCTTTCTTATCCAGAAATTTCTAGACGTGACACCCAATAGTCTACATGAACACATCTACACGAGGTTTTCCGAAAATTGAACTCAGGTTGATATTTCCGTTTTCAACCTCTTGCCTTGGCAATAGTAACCAGGTATGATCCATTTTCACAGAAATAGTAGAAATGCACTTTTCAACTGAAAAATATCCCTGTCTGTTCTCAAAACTATCAATTCACCTTCCTTATCCAGAAATTTTTAGACGTGACACCCAATAGTCTACATGAACACATCTACACGAGGTTTTCCGAAAATTGAACTCAGGTTGATATTTCCGTTTTCAACCTCTTGCCTTGGCAATAGTAACCAGGTATGATCCATTTTCACAGAAATAGTAGAAATGCACTTTTTAACTGCTGAAATAATATATAGGATCCCCGATTCTGTTATCTGTTTTCTCTTCATATATTGAAGATGTTCGTTTCTACTTATATCTAGGGGGCCTTGAAGTTTCATCTTTATAACATTTTCGGAACAACCCTCTATCCATTTGAGAATTTAGTGGTTGTGTCCGCCCCCGCTCAGAGTTTGATGTAATTTAATTAAGCGAGGTGTTTTTTGCATATTTGCAGATAGGAGCCAAAATATAGAGGGTGGTACATTTGCAAATTGACACCCTGTATGTAATAATTTAGGAATAATTCACCTGTTTTTACTGAAACCAACTAGATAGAGGCTTATATTCGGTTTTTTCAAATAGTTAAATCTAGCGCACAAATAATTACCGTGTAGTAAGTTAGATAGGTAGGAGATTGTATCCAGTGTTGTTAGAGTATAAAATGATAGAATGAACTTGTGATACAACACCAGACACCGCTGTTTCGATACACCATAGATCTCATCAGTGGTGCTAGGCTGAATCTCTCAACTCTTCTCAAAGGATAACCCTGAAAGAAAAGGCGATGACCAGGATAAACGAGGCTTTTCAAGGCGGTCGGTTGTAAAGACAAGCTTGGACATGGACCGTTGAACGAGATTTGTCTCTTGTCTTTCACTACAACTTTCACTGCAAGGCAACTAGATGAACTCATGATCCAACACGAGACATAAAATGTAACTCAACATTAGTTTATCATTCATGCTTGAAGAAGCTTTGTATAGGGAAACACGTTTAGGGGTTTTGTAAAACGTTTTTGGTGAAAATCTTACAGTAATCAGTAAATTTCAGATCGGTTTTAATTGTAAGTTTGGACTCGTGACGGGAGTGATAAGTAGTCAGCCTAGACAAGACATAGCGCCACTAGTATCAGCATCATGTTGTCATTCTTACCTATTGGTCGTGAGATAACTCCTTGACAATGTTTTGGCAGCAAGTTATTTAGTTTGTGTTTGAGAGTCGAAGAAATTGAATATTTTTGTATTGTTGCAAAAAGTTGATAAAATCAAATATCTTGCAGTCATAAGACTCTTGTTTCTGAAAAAGAAAACCAACGATGAGATCAATGCCGAATTGAAGGATTTTGATCAAGATTACGATAAAATACTAAACAGCAGAATTCAAACAAGCATCCAGGCTATCCAAGTCGGGTTACACACACCAGAAATGGTCGATTAAATCCATGGAGTGATATTAGGCGACCGACGAGTAACTAAGTGTGAGATAGCTGAAGTATTGACATTTCAGTGTGTAAGTAAAACTTTGCGTGAATATTTACTAAGTAGATGCCGCAGCTGTTACCTGAACGACATCGAACGTGATCATCAGACCATTTCAAAGGATGTACACGCCGTATGTCATAACGGTTAGTACTACTTTATTCGTCGTTTTGTTATCATGAATGAAACATAGATTCATTTTGGTATACTTGAATCCAAGAAGTAGATCAAACAGTGGACTACTCTTAGCAAATCGAAGTCGAATAAGGCGAAGGTAGTCAAGGAGGTTAGGGTCGATGTGTTTGGGATGCTGAAGGCATAATTCACATTGGCCAATTTCGAACAGGCGAAACTATCACCAGAGAGTATCATGAAGAACTGCTGGAGCGATTTGATGCCAATAAAACGAAAGCGACAATATTCCTTTGAGAGAAAAGTATTCTTCTACAAAGACAACAAACATATCGTCGCACACATCGACCGTTACAATGTGCAAAGCAATGAATTGTGGTATGAATAAGTTCTTCATCATAAAATTCTGATTGGGATTATTTATTCCTCGATTTGAAGAAACAGCTTGGTGATAAGCGAATTGGATCATTGGAAAGGAGATCATTGAGAACCTGTAGATGTTGTAATAATTGAAGGGCATCAAAACATTCGACAATTGTTGGAAAAAGTGTATAGAACTTAAAGCTGACTATATTGAGAAATGAAACTTGCTTTGCCGAAAATAGTTTTATTGTCTTGCCTAAGCCTCCTACTTACCAACCCAGCATCATACATGGATTAGATATGAATGAAATTTAGAGAAATTAGGCAAAAACAAAGTTAATATTTGAAAATGAACCCGCTATTTATCATTGTTGTTGTAATGTTGTACATTAAATAGTATTATCAAAGAGAGGCGCCTGATTTGTCTAATGTAATATCTATGCATTTTTTCATGTGTTCCACAACATGATACTTCTTTATTGTTTGTTCAGAATACCATAAGGTGGAGGATAAGCCGAAAGAGATTTCACCAACAGAAGGTGAGTGAAAAGAGTAAAAAAAATTGAGATGACATTAACGGGACTATTTCTTGTGTATTCTGTCAATTCATATGAAGTATAAAAATTTCTTCTCTAAACGGGTTCTTCATCTTGTCCTACCCATATTTATGAATAGAAATTAATTCATCTCCCCTTACCTACAAGCTACCAATATAAATAACCAGAAGGCGCTTATCAACTGAAAAGCAAAACCACTAACAAAATCATTGACGTTACCATTATTTTTGAATCATGTTTCAGTGGACTCAGTTGAAAAAGCCATCCTGGAATCGAAAGATAAACAGGTTACACCCTTATCGAAAAGTCAAATTGAAGTTGAGATTGAGAGTTCAAAACAAGTTGGGATTCAAGACAAAGTCGAAGCTACGTCACAAACAGCTTTTATATCTTTGGAAACTGAAACTCTCACTAAGAGTCCATCCTCAATCAATGCAGATCAGGCATCATTTCCTACATCTTCTGAGTCCCAGATTTCCGCCACTATACCTTCTGAGTCTCTATCGGTATCGCCAACCCCTGCAATTCATGTTCCTGAAAATCCAACATCTGTAAGTGCAGTCCCTTCAACTCAACCCGCTGAATCTCCAACCTCCGAAACTCTACCAGTTATAATCCCTGCTCCTCTAACACCATCAACTGATTCTACAGTCACTGAATCTCCAGCACCTCAAACCACAGAAATGGAATATCCTGTTATACCGAAATCTCCAGTCTTAGAAGCTCCAACTTCTTCAACTCCTGCATCGTCAGTTACCGATACTCCCGCCACTGTAACTTCAAATCATGTGTTTCCTACTCCTGTATCAACACTTTATGAAACACCTGCAACTGTAATTGTAGCCCCCACTACTCCCGCTCCTATAACAGTAGGGTCTGAAACTTCTGGTGACATAATCCTAGCTCCAACAATTCCAACCCCTGCTGTGCCGGTCAAAATTCCAGTTACTCTCTCCCCTGAAACTTCGACCCTCCCAGCTTTTATACAGACCTGTCCTGAAAATCTCGCCACTGCAACTTTGGTCTCTAAAACCCCAGTCCCTGAAAGTCCAACTCCTGCGGTTCCAGACATAACCCCTATTGGTTCTATGCCCGAGGCTCCTCAACCCACGGAAGAAGCTACGGTTACCAAAGAAGAAACTTTCGAGACAGTCAGTGTTTTGTCCAAGGATCCTCCTAAGATAGGAAAAATTTCAAGAGATACTGCTGAAAAATCAAGGGAAATTCAGACTTCAAAAACACACGTTACGAAGACCACTTCACCCTCCACTACTGTCTCAGCACAAACTGAAGAAACTAAACCGGTTTCAGCGGTTGCGACTGATGTTCTTGACACTCCTCCAGTTCCTGCCCCGGAAAGTTCATTTGCTCCTAAACCTACCCCACGAAAAAGTAATCGATCTGATAAGAAATCTGGAACTAAAACGAAGAAATAGAGATATAAAATTGTTGAAGATTGATTAGGCTCTTGATTTTTGTGTCGAATTATCGTGTGAAGAGTGTGATTCAGAGCTTCCTGTTCTCTTCATTCATGTACCAGATTGTCTATAATTTACTAATTATTATTGTTGCTATTTTTGTTCAATAAAAACATATCTACCATGTATCTCCATGTACACTTCCATTCGTATTCATTCCAGATCCTGCTATAGATTCAGAGGAAGGAAAAAAAATACATTACGTTATAGTATTGAGAATCTTCAAATCTTGTATTAAAAAAATGTTAAAGCCTTGCCATATCCTCAAATTCAACCACCATTTAACCTTTCTATCACCAAGATAGGACATCATAAAATAAGCTTCATTTCTACGATAATTCCCAATCTTCTTGAACTTCATAATATGAGCAGGGATGATGGTGAGTATCTTCATAATTGAAGCAGCAAGGAGATGGCATCAAAAACCCATGAATCGAGATCTTTTATATTTTTACTGAGAATTAGCATTGTCATACGAGTATGTATCCGTCTAGTGTCTGAATAAAACTTTGTTTCGTTCACTTAATCGCTTTTTAGCAGAAAATTTCGATAAAACCGTCATTAGTTGATAACAGATGATTACATGAAAATTTGAAAGTATATTGCTAATAACATATGTAATAATGTTTCAAAAACGTACCACATTTTTGCGAATCTTGCATTATATTTTTCGAAACCAAATGAATATTTTACAAACAGATTAGAAAATTTTAATATTGCAACATATAGATACGGGTTCGTTTAGTGAAGTGTTTTCAATTTCTTCGATTGTAGTTATAATTTTTGATGAGTAGAAAATGAAACCTTTGCTGTGAAATGAATCTATTGGAAACACATTTTCCTCGCCAGAACAAAACTGCTCTCTCTCTCTCGATGCGTGTTTCGCCTCACCAGATCCCTGAAACTACTTACAAGCTATGTTATTGTTTTTATATGCATCTAGAAGAATCATTACCTAGTGTAACGGAACTTATTACGTTAATTACTAGTATTTTGTTATTATCCTATCGTTTTGCATTATCTGATTGATACCTAATCTTCCCCTTTTTATACCTGTGATTACGAGTGCGGACAATGTGCTATCAGAAATGGGATTTTTATCACAGTTCATAGATCTTACTCCACATTGTTCGAAACTTTCGAAGGCACCTGAAAACTTGTCATGTTCATTTCTCACTTATTCTGTGGTCGTTCTCTTCAGCATGTTAAGCAACACTAGACTTCTCTGATCTGTGAAATGACTAGCTACAGTCCGCTAAGTTCAACCAACATATTCTTCTTCTAATTGATTCGGCCGTTACTTGATGAGGATCCATAGTAATTTCAAAAACTAAACCTCACGATTTGATCTTCACAAACTTTATTTCAAAAAATATAATCACATGTTTCGCTAGCACAGTAGCATTTTCAAGTGTATATAGCTATATTGTGCTAGCAAAACATGTGATTATATTTTTTCAAATAAAGTTTATGGAGATCAAATCGTGAGATGTACTTTTTGGAAAAACATATTCTTTATCGCAATCCTCACAGATTTTTTCGTAAACCCCAGACTTTTCCTTCACCGTCGACTTGTTTTTCAGGTTGTACCAACATTTGTTGAAATGTACCAGCAGTTTTACAGACATTTTATATTATTTAATAATTCCATCAAAATTTTAGTGTATGAGGATTTTTTGGCATGATTACATTACTATGAGATGCTGAATGAGACCTATATCTCAGAATATTTTCCCGGGCATGCTTTTAAACGAAAATTCAATAACTCCATCAAAATATTCGTGGATGGGATTTTTTTTGCATGATTACATTACTATAAAGGTGCTGAATGAGACTTATATCTCAGAATATTTTTCCGGGCAGAAAAACAACCCCCACGCGCCCTTACATGCTTTTAAACGAAAATGAAATAATTACATAAAAATATTCGTGTATGGGAATGCTTTTGCATGATTACATTACTATGAAAGGTTCTGAATGAGACGTATATCTCAGAATATTTTTCCGGGCAGAAAAACAACTCCCCACGCACCCTTTCATGCTTTTAAACGAAAATTCAATAATTACATCAAAATATTCGTGGATGTGGATTTTTCGCATGAATACATTACTATGAAAGGTGCTGAATGAGACCT